CACATCACATTCCTGGCTCATGTTTAACTTGTTGTCCACGAGGAGTCCAAGATCTTTTTCCACGTACTGCTCTCTAGCCAGGCATTGTCCCCCATTCTGTATCTTTGCATTCTATATCTCTGTACTTGTCGTGGTGAGGGGGTTTGTGTGTTCCAATGAATCTGCGGGCACAACAACTGGAGTCGTGCACTCCCAGGAGTGGCCGCGAGGGAAGTTCCAGACCAAGCACAGTCCAAAGACCCAAAGACCTCAACGGCGGAGCAGGCGGAGGATAACATGGTACATGTTACAACGGTGTGAAGGCGGAGGAAGGCTGCAACAGACTGAGAAGCCATGGTCATTGTGTTAAACTACACCACCAGTGGAACCTCACTCTGTGAAGACTGTGTGTTGATCAGTTGTGCACTGACCTCCACACTTTAACAAAAAAACTCACGCACAGGCGTCTTCCAAAGAAAATAAAAACAAACCAACCAAAGTCCCATGGCGATCAGCGAGTGGCGACGGGGGCAGGACTGTGAAATCTGGAAGCCCCTAGTCACAGACTGGCACATGGGCGGTGGGTACGGACTCAGTCGTTCTACCTCAAGGTCCGAGGCAGTTGAGTATCCACGACTATATCCACAGCTGTATCCACAACTGAGCAGCCCTTTTGAGGACCCACTCTGCTCACCCCACACGGGGAAGGAGGGGGCTAGAGAAGGTGCCCTAAACATAGTCTGCCTCTCTTATCCCTGACTGGACTACTGCGTCCAATGGAGTCACCACCCTGCAGCCAAAAAAGAAAAATGAACTTCGGTACATGGAACGTATGGCCACTGATGGACAACAGTGACAGTGAACGCCCCGAACGCAGAACTGCCATCATTGCAAGGCAGTTGGGATGCTTCAACATCGACATAGCAGCCCTTCAGGAGACCCGGAGATCAGGAGAGGGACAGCGGAAGGAAGAAAAAGAAGGCTACACCTTCTTCTGGAAGGGACTGCCTGAAGAAGACCAAATAATGCACAGAGTTGGCTTTGCTATCAGAAATGATCTGGTGAAGCATCTGACCGAAGCACCCACTGGCATCAACGAACGACTCTCAACCCTCCGAATCGATCTTGCCAAAAACCAACGGGCAGCCATCATAAGTGCCTATGCACCAACACTAGATGCTGACGAAGATATCAAGGAAAATGTTTACTGTCAGCTGGACACCGTCCTATCGGGGATACCTAAGGAGGACAAAATCATCCTCCTGGGGGACTTCAATGCAAGAGTCGGGCGAGACCTTGACCTGTGGCCAGGGACCATAGGAAACAGCAACTCGAATGGCATCCTGCTTCTCACCAAATGTGTGGAACACAACTTTGTCATCACCAACA